AAAAAAAAAAAAAAAAGATCTCAACTACCACCGAACCCTGAGATGCCCAAATTCCCCTTTGCCATCGAAGAACTCCTGGACACATCTGGAGTTACTAAAGACGTCACAGAGTGGGACAGGGCAGCTGGCCTGCACCGTCATGAGCTCCACAAAGAAGGCAAATCCATCTCTCCTGACTGGGATCCTAGTAGGTGATGAGGCCCCTAAAAGTGAGGTGTTGCTCAGTCTTTTGGTGGCCCTAGCATGATATATTTTTGTAATTTGGCCCTGTGACTTTTCTGAGGGATTGTCCAAGTACGGTGTATAGAGTTTCAACTTTGAAACTTTCAGTTCTCAACTGTATCTGTTATGACCAAGATTCTTTGCATCTTCAAGCACTTTAAAACATAAAAGTGGACCTTTGTGAATCTCTCCATTTCTATATACCCCTGTCCTTTGGAAATATTCCAATTTGCTGACTTAAACTCCCAATCACTCCTTGAGTCTCAAACCTGAACCCTGGTGCTGCTTGCACACCAAAATGTAGGAAAGTCCAAACCTGGTCTTAAATTTTGTGACAGTAGATGCCACATAAAAAAAAGGAAATGAGAAGAATGTACAAAAATATCTGGTGGCTCAGTGCAGCTTCTAGAAAAGTGTATTTTACACAGTTTCTCCATAAACAGTGAAAGACTGTTTCTTGAAAAAGGAGGTATACTTACCATGCCTTGGGAGGAATCTTGCTGCTAAGGTGACAGCCAAAAGGAAGACAATAATGATGATACTTGAAGCAGTAATGACATTGTAAGATGGAGGTATAGTAGGAAGAACGCAATCACTTCTTTTTTCTGAGAGAGAAGAAATAAAACGTAACTGAAGGGCCCACAGCATATCGGCACTTTCATGTAAGAGCAGGTATGTGCATCTTGGTGGTGCTGGCCAAATTCTAACTCAGATATTCAGCCTGAAATTAAACTTATCCAATAAACAAGAAGACAAAGGTGGCACCTAAGCTGTAAAGGTCTTTCCATTCCCCCACATTTGCTATGTGCTGAAATTTGTAACACATCCACAGAGTCCTAAATGCTGGATCTCTGTCCAGAAAAGGACAGAGACAGGCAATATCTAAAAAAATACATAAACTCTTTTCAAAGAAACTGGCTAGACTGGGTGGAAAACTCTGAGCCCGTATCTAGAAAGTTTCCATTCTCAGAGGTACTCTGCAGCTTTTATTACTGTTTCAGGCAGTTTTATGCCTAATTTGTTCCTCTAAATTCATGGGTGACAGGAGATAAGATGCATTAAATAGACTGGAGGTGTCATTCCCTGCATGATAGCAAAAGAGCATTGGGGCAGAGTTGAGTTTCAGTGGATCTGAATCCTTTGGCCTTTCACTATTGAGATCGCTATTCCCCCACATCTTAAAAATTGAAAGGTGGGGTCTCTGTGGCTGACGTTGTCACTGTTGATTCCACCCTCCTCTGAGAATTCATGTGACAACAGTGTGTTATTATTATTACTTTTTTTGTTGGTCTTCTTTTCTATGTACTACGATATTCACAACATTCTTCCATTACCATTTCTAGGGAAGTTATGCGCTACATCCAGCAATAAGCAGTACTCATCAAGCACTAGTTTCTGGCATTCTGCCTGAAGTTGAATGGCACCTTTCCTCACAAGGCTTTTAGTGATACTGTTTGATGAATAAGGTACCTTCATGAATAAGGTACAATTCCCTAGGAAAAATAATTCTTGCCTTCTCTAGCTTCCCTTGAAAATGCCCATATCTCTGCACTCAAAACATGAGACCCAAAGACATATTTTAGAAGACTTTTATGGTAACAGCATTAAAAAGAAATTTTTCTGGCTTTAAGAAATTTACTTCAAATTCCTTTCTACTGCAAAACATCTGGACTATAGCGTGCTTGCTTCATGCTGTTTTCTCTTGTCCCCCAAGCTTTTCAAAGCATAGGCTTATCTATTATTTTATCACTTTTAAGCCAAGCACAGTGATGTAATTTTTATCCTATACAAGTTAGCCCCAGTATTAAATACACACGTGGAATCAGAATTTCCTCCGGACCCCAGCAGGCAGTTTCCTGCAGTGAAGCAGGAGCAAACATGCTGGTTTGTTACATGGGGAAAGTGCAACGTGGTTTTTGAGGCACACACATTTCTCAAGCCCCTCTATTCAAATGCCAGGTCTGTGTCACACAAGCAGCAGTAGGACCGTGCCGGTACAGAGGGGCTCTGGATGGTGGGAATCCCAACCTTGGGAGCAACTGAGGCTGGTACCACCAGACCACAATGGGATCCAGCTGCTCGGTCAGCCCAACCCATCCTGACTCACGATGAAGCAGCAGGAAGCCAGGGCCATCTCCTGCTTATCAGACACTGTCATAACTCTCCTTTCCCACCCCTGCTGTCTTACAGCCATTGAAATATTTTGGTGTGCAGCTCATGGTTGGGCCACCCCCGCATGAACAGATACACAAAATCTGCCACTTCCTCAGAGGGGAGCCTCAGCAAGTTCCACAAAACATTTCTGCAACAAAATATAGGTAAAAACCTACTCAGAAGCAAGCTAGTGGACTTGGCAAAGCCATTGTACTCAATGGAGCAAGTGAGGCTGGTGTCTTCAGTCACGTTGAGCCGCAGGTTGCCAGTGACGTTGTATGGGCTGATGCCGGCCTCAGACACCCAGGTGGCATTCCACACCACGGACTCATTGTTGAGGGCTCCAGAGATTTTGGGTTTTGGGAAACCTCCATGAGAAGAACATCTTACCACCACCTCATCTGATTCACAAGAACTAGTGCGTACTTCTGCTGTTATGTTGGGCTCACTGAAGTCAGCTGAAGCAAAAAAAAGCTTTAGTTACCATTCTGCCAGATTACACAGAAAGCTCCAGTTCTGGTCACCCACGGTCAAAGCAAAGACCACTCCCCCACACCTGAGGTGTTTTTCCTCTTACTCAAACTATCATAATCCATCTGGCCCTTCTTGTGCCTTAGCATTCTCCCCGCAGCCTCGACTGGATATGGTGTTGGCCTTCACTTCTTTTCCTGCCTGGTCAGTATCCCAGGGTCCACGGATTTCACGACCCTAGCTTTTGAGTACCACTTTTTCTCTCTACATACAGCACCAGAAGGAGTCATAAAACGGGTAGGAAATATACAGGACTGAATATGAACTGGCAGAATAAAGATTTGTATTACATACAGTGATGGACAATTTCCTTTTCCCTCCCTCTTTAGACCCTTCCCAGCCAAGGGCTCACAGAGGGCCCATCTCTACCAGGAACAGAGGTGAGTCAGGTGTTGGCCTCTCAGCCAGGTTGGGCAGCAAGAGACCAAATTATATCTTCTGTATGAGAGTCCCTCCAGAAGGCCTAGCTGAGAGCAAGACTTGTACAATTCACTGCAAAAATGTGTAGCAATACACAGATCCTCCCCTAAAGAATACAAGCCATGTTTCCACCACACATTTTTCTTAATGCCAAAGCTTGTTTTCACAGGTTTCCCACCCATGCTGCTTGTTCCATGCCCTCCCTCCCCTTCAGATGTATTGGTGCAAGCATATGTGAGGCTGCATGGTGAAGTGGATGAGAAAATTGATCTGGGTGAAGGAGAAGAAAGGCTGTGTTATTGTTAGCCTGCGTCCCCTTTCACAATCTGGTTCACTGTGTGGCTCTCAACAGTTGTGTCAGTGCAGGTGAGGAAGCCCACGGGTTGCAACGACAGGCCGGGGTGAGGAGGAGGTAAGGGGTGGCGCAGGAACTATTTAAGGCAGTTCTCCCACTGGAAAAAAATCTATGTGTGCCAATAGCTTTAGCAAGAGAGGCGCAGGTCAGGAGACGAAGCTATGTGTGCGGTTTCTAAGTCACACTAACACCACTGCTCCAAAGTGACCAAATGCTTCCTCTCTCTCCCACGCCCGTCACCTGCAAGTTCACTGCTCCCTGCAATCCAGTGTCAGGCCCAGGCATGGCAAGGCCACGCAGAGTGCTGTGGCAGCTTGCTCATCTCACAGCAACACAGCCCTTTTTGGAGCAGCTGGAAGAGCTCCCGATCTGACTCGCCACCTGACTACAGGACTATGAGGGTCAGCACAAGGCAGATGGTCCCTGTGCATCCCCACAGGGCAATGGGGAAGGGGAAATGGCCCCTTGAGGTGGGAGCATGGTCTTACATGGCTTAAGGACCATGCTCCCATGGTCTAAGCTAACGAGTAACTGTCTTGAGCAATATTGCTTTGACATCCAGTCTGGAAAGTCTGAACAGTCACCAGGTGGTAATAGTTCTCAGCCTCTCCTGGGATAGCTGGACTCCAACAGTGGCCTAAAAGTGAAGGAAACTTTCCCTTCGCTGATCCCCACAACAACTGCTCCCTCTTTTCCAAAGGGAGAAGTCTACCACAATTATTACACTGGGCTAGTTAGAGCAAGGAGCTGTCTAAAAGCAGAGAAATTGGAATACATGTGGGGAGCAAAGGAGGGAGATCCATTGTTTCATGTTTCTCATGGTTAACTCTTCAGCCCTCAGCAATATTCCCCTCCATGACTGGAGATGGTCCGGGCAATACAGTTACCTTTTTTCTTATCAGTTCCTGGAAGAACCAGTGAACTTGTGTCCTTGCACATAGGCCCGCTATTTCCCCAGGTAGGCAGGCAACGGCCAAACCTCAGGAGCTTGGATGTTTTTGTTATTAATCATCTCATTCAATATGGGGAATGCTTATTCACTGGCTTTTCTGGAAGATTTCTGAAACTCTCTGCTGTTAAAAGTATTCATGCTGAAATAAGTATGTATAAATGTAAATGTAAATGTATGTATAAATATATATATAAAAGTTACCAGTATCTCTGCTTTTGGTTGAAACCAACCACCACAAAGACAGTCAAGCAAATGGAAAATAATGTCAACGGAACTTTTTCTAGCCTCCAAGAAAAGATTCAGATTCGTTTTGAGCAAAGGGACTTGTGTTGTTTCTCAAGGTAAAAAGCCTCAAATCTCCAGCTGACTTCAACTTTATGCCCTGGAGCTGTTTGGCACCCTACCAGTGTCCCAGAATATTCCGTGCCCCTCTGGGGTTTGATACAGGCCTGGGGCGCTGCTGTGGCCATGTGGAAGCAGTACTACCCCGTTCCTCCTTTGGTTTGGGAAATGTTTGCCTTGCACCCAGGGCCTGATCTCAGCTTTACCCAGAAGACAGCAGGGGGCAGAGGTGGCCCAGGGCACACACTAACAGTGGTACCTGGGGGAGGTGTCCCCGGAGAGGTCCTTCTACAAGAGGGAGTCATCAAGGGAAAGATGGGGAGGGGGGGCAGTGGTGGGAGATGACCTGCAAATTTTCAGTGCCTGAGGTAGCTTTGGAAAGATAGGGGAAGAGGCTGATGGAAAGGAAATAAAGGGGACTTAACACACTTTCTGTCTCTCTTTCAGGCTTCCTGATGAAAATGAGGTCTATCTATTACACCAGGAACAAAGCTTGTAGAAATGTCTCTTATCTCCAGAGGCCGGCACTGGAAAGCCTCTGGTGATAGGAGGCAACCCACCTACCTGTAATGAAGAGGGTCACGGGCTCATCACACACAATGCGAGGTGCAACTGAGTTCTGCAAAACTTTGAGGTGCTGAACTACACACTGGTAGGGGCCATTGTCCAATATTTCCACGGGGGAGATCCACAGGGTGAGATTCGTCATGTTGAGCTCAGTCCGATTCTTATACCGCTCGTTTTCTGAGATCTTCTTCCCCTCTGCGTATGCAAGCACTACCTCCGTGGTGTTCTTCTGCCAGTAGACCCGGTAGTTACGTAGGCTTTCTGTGCTGGGTATTTCATGACAACAAGGCAGGCCAACTTTTTCCCCCACTTTGCCTTTGGCCATTTTTTTCTCCACTGCATAGCCTAAGAGGGGGCAAACGAAAGACAGTGAGATGATGGTATATCCTTGTACCAGGATCTTCTGTGTAGAACTCACCTATTTCAGCTCTGTCTGCACCCGCTAACGTACCTCATTCCTCCATTCCCTGACCATTTTACAACTCCAGCTCTGCATGGAAGGGAGCCTACCTTGGCAATACTTTTTCTGTGATGCTGCAATCCCACTTACGATTCCAAGCTAGCAGGCACTCAAGGATTTCAGCATGCATGGACTACTGAAGGCAAAGGCAGGAAGGTCACCTGCCTGAAAAGAAATTTTGCTGGCACCTTAAAAAATGCACCTCAGACTAAAACATTGCCATGATAGTCACCTGAAAGGATAATAATGTACACGGCACAAACTGCTCATATCTAAAGATCTCCTCTGCGCTCCTTTTTTAGAGCTCAATGTTAGGAAAGTCTGTATCATCTTCTGTTGCGTTTCCTGCACAACAAACAGGGTGACAGTGGAATATTGGCTTTTTATAAAGGAAAAAAAAAAAAAAACCTTCCAACATCCCAGAAGTCAGACACAATCCTACAATAATAAACAAAGGTCAGACCCACGGTTTCATGAGCCCTCTAGTATTAGTAAATGAACAATTTTGCCCAGCCTAGCTAAAATGAATCTAAGGCCCCTGGTCCTTCCTTGGAATCATTTCTAACCTAGCAAAGACTTCCCAGAACTCCTGCCCCGGGCACGTGTTGGTGCCATACCTCAGGATACAGGCATGATCCTACAATAACAAGCAGGGGCTCCTTCAACAAGGAAATTAGATACACCTTTGCTCAGGTTAGCAGCAATCCCCTTGCTTCACGTTATGACTCCTTTGCACGCCATTGTCGTGATCAAAATGACTTTCCCACCCTCCTTCCTCTTCTTAGCGGGTAGGCTCTTGCAGGGATGGAGAGCGGAAAGTGCAGGGGGTAGCCCAGAGAGGAGCCCCTGCCTTTGCTTGGAACGGTGACACAGTACTGACGGTGCAGCCCCGTGCTGCAGCAAAGCCAGAGCCGTCTGTGCTTTGCTGGGGTTTGTGTGACCTTCAGGATGTTGCTTACCCCCTCTGCACCCTGCTTTGTTAGTCTGCAAGGTCAGGATACTCTGCCGGGTCGTTTTATGTTTGCCATACTTGCCTCTTCCTCAGCACCTTAGCATCTATCTTTGGTACAGGAGCAGGAGGATATAAGTCTCTTGCATGTCATTGACCAAAAGCAGAAAAATAAGCAAACACCTGGCCTTAAAACAGAGAAGATTCATATTCCCTTCTCCTTCCCTGCAGAACAGATCTTAGAAAACGTGTCTTGAGAGAGACAGCGGGAGAGCCCTGAAGAGGGAGGACGCTACTGATGGGCAGAGTGCAATGCTGACCATCAGTGGAGGTGAGATCTCAGGCAAAGAGTCTCAGCCAAGTGTGAACTGAACTCTTGACAAAGCCGAGTTTCAGAGCTGGCATCTACCCCGTGGTAAAACCTGCCTGATGCTGGAACATACTTGACTTTTATGCAGTACGGGGCAGCCACCACGTACATGTGCACAGAGTGGAGCTCCCAGAATGTGATTGGGGTGCCGTAACATCCAGATTCAGCTGAATTCAGCTGTCCAAAACAGCCGCAAGCTTGTCGCCTGCCAGGCTTGTTTGCTTAGCGGTGACTCACAGAGTCTTGGGACGCAGTCAAACAGGACCCCTGCAGCTACGGGTGCTAGAGGGAGCCAAACAGTGTTCATGGGGCAGCATCATGGGCTGCTAGATGAAGTTCAGTGGTCACAAGGCCAGAGAGAGCGCCTGAGACTGAACCTGAAATGAGCATCACCCCCATCCCCTGAAGCACACCTATCCCTGCCCCACCTGCCCGTTTTACATCAAATCAGCAGGACACACTCTGAAAAATACTGGGGAGGTCCTGACAACTTTGTTTATATATTAATTAATTACAATTTGATATATAATCAAATGATCAACTTGTCATTTAACTCTTTGTCCCTCCCACAGGCACCTCATTGGTCTTCCAAAGGCAAAAGATCCGATAGATTCAGATACATTTTTTTTTTTTCTGGCTAGCTGTACTTCCCCTTATAAAATACGTAACAGACTAAGACCAACCAGACTGGGGCAGACCAGGAGCCCACTCAGTCCACTGACCTGTGTCAGCCAGCAATCAGTAGCAGAATAGTAGAAAAATAGTTCTTACACCCTACACAGAATAAGAACTGTCGTATCCTGCCAACCTTTGGCAAGTACGCGTTTAGGGATTTCTTGAGACTGGCAATTTAACCACTGTTGATAGGCCTATCTTTCACAAATGGGTCTTGCCCCTTTTGGAACGCACGCAAATTTTTGGCTTCCACAACATCCTGTGACAATGAGGTCCACAGTTGGATTACCTGCTGTTTGAAAAAGCATTTCCTCCTGCTCACTTTAAAAGCAGCCTACTTTAAGCTGTGATTCTTGAAATTCCTCCTCCTGTGTGTCTGCATGCTCTTCTGCAAGTATGTGTGTTTGTGCGCATTCATTTTTCCTCAGCACCTCTCTGCATAGCCTCACAGTTCAGCTCTTACTGAACTTACTTACTCCAGAGAGACTTCCAACAGCAGCCAGGGAAGCTGGGATTGCGGACCCTGGCAACACCACCACAATCAAATATGTATTTTCTATTTTCTTTTGCAGCAACAGAGGAAGAGCAGGCACACTGTAAATGTCAGGGTGACATCGCATCATGAGTTGCATGAGGTTCTCCGTGCCTTGCCCCTAAGAGGCTCCTTCGCAACCAAAAGGAGAACAAAAACCTCCTCGGCAGTACATGTGCAGGGGCTGGAAACTCCTGCTTATGTCACATCTACCCTTAAAAGGCTCTGCACTCTTGAAACTGCAACCTGACCGCTACAAGGCTGAAGGAACCAGAGTCCATGAAGAGTCATTCAGCCCAGCAAAAGTCCCCTTTCACTTTAAAGGTGAACTGCAAAGCAAAAATGAAAATTGAGTTTGGTCCCATTTCTGTGCTGAATGCTCTCTGTAACCAGGCTGTGGGGGAAGTATCCACCATGGAAATAATTTTTAATGACTCTTCTAGAAAAAAAATTCCCTCCTCTTCCCACCCCCAGTGAAGTCCACCTGATCATTTGATATGTACTAATGGTAGCTACTTCACTGGAGCCCTGCAATGTGTGATGAGATCGAACCATTGCAAAGGCTGACTTTCTTTTCCCTAGGCAGAAAAACACGTTTCATTCAAACTACTCCCATGCTGCAAATGACCCATAGAGCAGGGCTAATTAAGAGCAGAAAGGTGAGTTTAGAGGAAAAGTGTCCTTTCTGGTTTGCTCTGAGAGCCAGAACCTGCTGTCAGGAACAGCAGGAAAGCTATTGAGTCCTTATCCTTTAACAAAGATCCCTATTTCCTATATTCCTTGCCCACCCAAGCTTTAGAAACACCCCAAGCCACAGAGCACTTGGTTTTCCTGAGCAGCACCTACAGCCAAACGGTATGGGAGAGCCGACTGCCTCTGGGACAAAGGCACAGCAGAGACATTTGACTGCCCTGGCAGCAAAAGACCATACAATGCTTTAGAGAAGCAGCAGCAAACCGTTAGAAACCTCCAATTAATTCCTGGTGAATGGAAACCCCAATGCCATTCACTTTCCCCTCCATCTCACATTTCTCTGCCTTTCTGATCTGCTTTTTCTTTCTTGTCTCTTA